AATCAAAACCTTCCAAATTCTCCTTTCGGTAGCATTGGTTTTAGAATAATTTGGGAGCTTTTGTATACTCTCAGAGGTAGTCCCTTTAATTAATTATTTGACGCTTTTGTTGTTAGGCTTTCTTAACTTGGTTCCAGCATCAACCGTAAACCCTAAGTCTGAAGTTGCAATTAATAGTCTCCCAACAAGTATTTTTCCAATAACACAAATCACAACCATACACAATTTAGGGACATGTTGGGATCTAAGAAATCAAAACCTTTCTTCCAAATTCTCCTTCCAGAGTGTTTTTCCAATAACACAAATCACAACCATACACAATTCATCCAACTGCCTGATGAAGTGGGAGTACATCTAAAAGAATAGTAGAATGGCAATATTTAGTTCAAACAATTTATGAGAATTAGGATTTCACATGTGAAGCATGCTTGTTTTGACCAGACAAGCTTGACCGTGCTTGTTTTGACTAGACAAGCTTGACCGGAATGACTTTCATTAAGAATAACACAGAGTATTAAGAATAACAGTTCTTTCGAGAAATTCCATCTTCAAGACAAAGATGATTTGATACTTTGAGTCTATGAATTTCTACACTTTTGAGTCTCTTAAGACCGAGACTTTCTGGAGATTTCTAGAATTCTCAAATTTTGTCTCATTTTCTTCTTCCTCTGTGCCTCTATTTATAGGCTTGATGACATATGCCCTCTTGATTGAATTTCAAATAAAATAAAACTCTTTAAATATATCTTTTTCTGATGTGATAGAGTTTTATTGAAAATAAAATAGGTAATTTGTGGTAGAGTTTTATTTAAATTATTTTATTTTTTTCAAATATATCCTTCCTCTAATTAGATTTCCTTTTATTATATCTATTAATAAATAATTTTTTATATTAATAATACTCATATAATTAGATTTCTTTTTATTAAAAACTCATAGATAAATAGGTAATTTGTGTTAGAGTTTTATAGAAACTCTTTAAATATATCTTTGTCTAATGTGATAAAGTTTTATCTTTTTTGATGTGATAGAGTTTTATTGAAGATAAAATAAGTAATTTGTGGTAGAGTTTTATATAAATATATTATTTTATTTTCTTCAAATATATCCTTCCTCTAATTAGATTTCTTTTTATTATATCTATTAATAAATAATTTTTTATATTAATAATACTCATATAATTAGATTTTCTTTTATTAAAAACTCATAATAAATATGTATTAGAGTTTTATGGAAACTCTTTAAATATATTTTTGTCTAATGTGATAGAGTTTTATTGAAAATAAAAATAGGTAATTTGTGGTAGACTTATTCTTGTCTAATTAGATTTTATTTTATTTTATAGAAACTCTTAGATTTATTATGTAATTTGTAATTTGTAATTTGAATTTTATTAGGTAATTTGAATTTTATTAAGTAATTTTTAGAGTTTTATATCAATTAATAAATATTTTTTTATATTAATAAATAAATACTGAAATACTTTGTACATTTAATAATTTGATTTGAATTTTATTAAGTAATTTTTAGAGTTTTATATCAATTAATAAATATTTTTTTATATTAATAAATAAATACTGAAATACTGAAACATTGAAACACTTTACACATTTAATAATAGTATAGATATAGATATAGATATACACACACACAATTGAATGTCATTATAATTAGTGTAAAGAAGCTTAATTTGCACACTAATGAGTGTAGAGAAAGTTAATCAATCATTTTCCTTAGACAATTAGTTTTTCCTAAAACTACTTGTAAACGTTTATAATTTGCATTAAAAGCAATTGCATAATAGTTAACCGTTAACAGATAATATCTTTAAGTGCTGGTAATAAATTAAAAATAATGTATGAATAACAACAAAGACAATTAATGTTGGTGTGATGCAAAAATATATATATATATACACACACACATATATAAACGTTGTGTGTATTGTTTTTTTGGTAATCAATGTGTGTGTCTATTTATATATTTATTTAATGGATAAAAGATCTCAACCCCAACCCCGTATAAAATGTTTAGCTGTAAGTGTCCATGCTAATTGGTGGCTCGACACATTCATTGCCACCAGACTTATTATTAAAAAAGAGAGAGCATAATATCAGCATTATTATTAGACTAAGGAATCACTAGCGTAGCCGAATTTTAAGATTAGTAAGCTAATTTTTATTTTCTTTATTGCTATTGATTTTTTTTTTTTTTTAAATATTAACGAGACATTTTGGTTGTAGGGATAATCACGTTGTCTAAGGAAATGATTAAAAATATAAAAGTAAAAGAAAGAAATTGTGTGTTAAAATTAACTAAATATAAGTTTGTTGAAATATAGCCCCTCAATTTTTTGGTAATACATTGTTAAAACCATGAGAAGAAAAATATAAGAAGTTTTGTTATAGGAAAATGATGGATTTACCCAATAAAAATAAAAAATAAAAAATAAAAAAATTGTTCGTTGTGTGATTCCCATGCAATGATAAAAGTTTGGATTAATGATAAGTTAACATACTGTTGATTAATATATATCTGTTGCTTTCTACAAAATAATACTCCATGTTAAGTGTAATGTTAGTGTTGTGTTACAACTTACCGTCATTCGTCGTCAAAAATATAATTTTGCAATGATACTGAAATACTGCAGTTATTTTCTCACTATATCTACTTAATTCTCAAGTCCTTTGGAGGTAAATTATATTGCTTATTTTAGAATGTTCATTGATTTAAACACAGGACTAAACCATTTGATGTGCACATGAACTTTTGATAGCAAAATAATACACATTTCATTTCAATATTATTGACATAGTTGTAGCCTTAAACTTTAATTTCAGTTTTCCATATTAGACCATCATATCAAAACTCATGATCAAGCTAGTTATTACTTCATGTGTGATTAGGGCTTTACGAGTGTGCTCTAGAATTTGGATCTGTGCATTAATGTGTGAAATGTTGGCTATCTAGCTTAAACCACACATCGAGATTTTTAGAGAGCAATTATTTTCTTCAAATTAGTTGTGTATTAGGGATCAATATTACTTTTCATTGACAATGATATATTTAGTTTTAGTTTCCATGTTCTGAAAATTTTTATTAAAAGAATTTATTAATATCAATTCCCCTCCTACGTTTTTAGGATTTTCTTATGTTTTCCTTTTTTTCTTTTTTCTTTTTTCTTTTTTCTTTTTTCTCGTTTATTCATTTTCATTAAAAGTAAATTTTGAAATAGGTTAGTAATTCATTTAGATGGTTAAGAAATATATATATATATATATATATATATATATTTTCTATATAATTTATCACAGGTGTATAGCTTACATACTCCCATCATATTTAATATTTTAACTTCAAAATAAGAAATAAATTTTATATTCTCAATTTGGTTGATTGGGTACAAATTCGTCCATTATACACAGGAAATCACAATATGTTTCACTTATTATCCTGTCTATAAACACTCGTATGCGTACGCAAACATTTTATTTTCTCTTATATGCGTATTTTATTTCTTCAAATATACTAAACTTACAGTAACATTTGTTCGACTAACTCACCCTTTCAAAATATAAGAGTTTGTAGCTTGTTATTATAAATGGGATTTGTATGTATATATAGATATCCTCATCCATGATCAACGGTTATGAATTATTATTATCAATGGTTAAGATTTAGTTTTCATAACTCTACCTAAATCTATACATATCTAGAACTCTCTATTCCTATACAATCTACAATCTACCCACTTTTATGAACAATTTTAAAAAATAAAATAAAATAAAATAAAACATTATATCCAAACATATCTTTAACAGTTATCAAGTCCAACCCTGTGATGATCCGACCCATTCCACTGGGCAATGGGTGGTCCATTTCAAATTCACAAGGAACATTTTCCCTTCTCGGATACAGAAGAAAATTATTAAAAATATAGAAGTAAAAGAAAGAAATTATGTTCTGAAATTAACTAAATAGAAGTTTGTTGAAACATAGCTTCCCAATTTTGATAATACATTATTAAAACCGTGAGAAGAAAAAATAAAAAAGGTTTGTTATAGAAATAAGTGATCGTTGTTTTATGCAATGATAAAAGTTTAAATTAATGATAATTTAAACCCATTTATTATAATAGTCATGATTTTCTATAATACACCCTCCGTGTTAAGTGTATATTTGAGTTAAAACTCTCAACATTCTCCATATTTTCTATGAAAAAATCAACAACCGACCAAAATATAATTTTCACATAATATTGTAATGGGTCTCACCAGTACCGTGTCAAAAATATAATTTCTGCATAATAATTTGTTTGTAGGAACACAATATACTTTTTCATGCACCAACGAAAGTAATGGAAATCAGTTTCATTTCAATTTTTTGTTTGAGCCACATCTCTTCTTACAAAAGTCAATATTCAATCTAAGATGGTGATGTTCATGGGTCACTCTAGCCCATTTAGCTTTCTCAAGGCCCAGTCTCTTTTGTTTCCTTTGCTTCTTAGTTCTATATATATTTTGAGTCGCAGATCAGGTCAACTATGAAAAATTTGACATGGGATTGATTCATTTTTTCAGTCCATCATTTCTTGAGAAAAATTGCTTAGATGTGTCTGTTTAAAGATGTGTTATTGATTCTAAAGATGTGTTATTGCTACTGCGGGTATGGTATACACACCAAGTCATATAATTTTTCTAAACGAGTACTACTCTTACTTTTCGTGTATACTTCTTCTTCTCATAATGTGAGAGTTAGATTTTACCCTTTTTGCTGTTGCATTCGCTCCCGCTCTTTATGACATATATGAGTCCATCTCAACTGTCTTGAAACCCAGACTCTCCTGGGTGTCAACTTTAGTTTATGTTAATGTGAAAAGCTTTTTTTTCCCTGCTCTTTAGTGGTCTTTCGTCATAACATATTTGCCTTATTTTTATTGATATATTGGTCCTTTGTATTTTTCATATAAAAAAGAAAAGAACCAAATATTACACATTAAATTAAAGAAAAAGTAAATGCTCCAATATATTTAAGATAATTCAATGATACAAGTTGGCCCTAATTAGGTTTTTCATCAACCTTGGGGATTAAATCTGCAAACACTGTAATATATATATATATATATATATATATATATATTCAAATGGCCTTGATATCAATACAAGGGTTCCCATAAATGCCCTTGTTTTCAAGGTAACTAATAAATCTCAAACCTCCTAAATATATTTAGGCCTAAGCGGGTACTAATTAGCACCACAGCAATAGGTAGGCACTTCCCTGAGTCTCTCCCAAACCTACTCACCCCAATACCACCACGTACTTCAAATGTAACCCTAATCTTGGAAACTTAAAATTGACCACCATTGAATGTTTGTCCAAACTGCCAATTAGAAGGCACCACGTTGTTGCTTGTCACGGTCCTTCCATCACTGGTGGTGACTTGGAAGGAGAGGCTCTGGCCATTGAGATAGGAATTGCTTTGCCAATTTTGCCCCCAGTTTCTTGACATGGGTTGCCACCCTGTTTTGGAACCCTTGATTGACACTGAATGGACATCCCCTGCACCCCCAACATTGGTGACCAACACCAAGTTGAAGTAAGAGTGGCCATTGATTGTGAACCTTATTCCTCCTTTTTTCACACACGGCACCCTGTCCAAACCAACACAAAAAACTTAGTGAAAAAGGTTCAATTAAGTGCAATTATACTAGCAAAAACACGTGCCAAAATATTAGGGCTTGCTTGCTTTCATTCCGAGATTGAAAAAAAGAAAACTCAGACAAAAATCTGTTCAGTTTACGGTCTTTGAGTACAACTGAACAAGAAGATACAAAAGAAATTGAAGTACAAATTGTAGGGCGTATCAACGGAAAAGAAATTGCGCGTGTCGAATGGGTCAGTTTTCAATTGTCTTTTTATAGTTATCTGATATAAGTTTTTAAAAACTGTTTTTGGAAAATGTACTGAACCAAGCAAGTCCTAAATGATTTTTCAAGACAATTTGAGGGTTTTGAGAGATGATCTTACCTTTGGAAAGCTACGGGGACGATTCCGGCTCGATATTGGGCGATTTGGAGGAAAGCAGGCTCTGCCAAGTCAAAGTGTTGGAGGGGAGGATTGCACCAACCACCATTGTCATTAGACAAACTAGGGTTAGGGGGGCAGAAGTTTGTGGCGGTGACAGTGATGGTTCCGGGGAGGCACCATTTGGGATCATCGTTGCATTTGATCTCGTAGCAGGCACCACAGGTCAAGCCATTGTTGAATAGAGCAGTGCTGAGTGCTGCAGTGCTGGTTCCATAGCCCTGCCCATACAAGTTGCCATATCCACAAGCACCCCCTGCAATAACAATATCACATAAATATAAGAAAATATCAAAGTAACCCAAACTTAGCATACCAACAACATACACACATGATATACACTTATTCAAAGAACTATTTCTAATTATAAAGGTTTTTTTTGGTAAATTATTTTTTACTGAATTTCATAATAGTAAAGTGTTTTTGGTGGGAGCCTAAATTCAATAATGTAAAAAGTGAAGACGGGACTACATGTAACAGCTTTTTGCTTAAATAATTGCATGTGATTCATGTAATCCCGGACAATGTAGTCCGGACTATGTAATAATTTTTTATTATTGTTGCTCAAGCATGCACTATGACTCTTCTAGCCTAAATTGAACTTACCCATTGTGCCAGAGGCATCACCACCACCATAAAAAGTAGCATGGGCACCTTGCCAGCCTCCATAGTCACCGTAAGCGCTGCGAAAGCATACGTTGAAGAGAGAGAATAGAAGAGCACCAATAGAGAATGCTGGAATGGCCATTGATGAGTGTGTGTGTGTGTGTGAGAGAGAGAGAGAGAGAGATTGTGAGTAAGAATGAAGAATGAGGGTTTATTTATAAAGGAAATGGAGGATAAGGTGAGTATTGGTATAGTAGAAAGTGACAAGTTAGCAATGCTCAGAATTGAGAAATTTCAGGGCCAACCTCAAATCACTGAGTCATATACGTCAGGTCTATAGAAGGATCAAAGTGCACATGCAGTTGTTCCAATTGAACTACCAACTGCTAAGGTCACAGGCCCCACCTGCACATGCATCTCTCAACCGTCTTCTCCCAATTCCTTAGGATATATATATATATATATATATATATATGCTTTCTCACATCAAACTTTTTCTTCTATGTAATTTGATAAGACCACAAATGTTATTTTCAAACTTTGTTATCCGAATTTTTTTTAAAGTATTTTGGTATTTTAATACTTGCTATGTAACCCTAAATTCTATACTAGCATAGTAGGGACGGTGGTTAATTATTTTAAATTCTATAATTTTGTTTTGTATTTTATCATGGTGAAATTTTAGCAACTTTATAAACTCTAATATTGTGTGAATCACATAAATATGTGAATTCTTACATGTATTGTTGTAGTCTTTCTTCGTTAATTTCTGAAACATAATTTGCCTAAGATTGTGCAACGAGTTACATGTGTACCTAACATATTGTGTGTGAACGCCTTGACTTTGTAAGCTTCCATTTAATTGGAATCTGCATAGTATATATTTGTGGAATGTGAAAACAATTAGCAATTTTCAAATTAAGAGCTCAAAATAGAGTCAAAAAGTTATGTAAGTCCGTTGTCGACTATCAAATTAAGAAGGAAAAAAAAAAAAAATTCACTCCACACATTATCAGTAACTGACACATTCTATTTTTAGCACACGTGGTTGGTCAGTGAAATAATCAAAGGTACGTGCAACAATGGTTAATTTTATAATGAATAATTGAAATTTTAAATTATTATTATTATTATTATTACAATATTTTCGAGAATTCACAAAAAGTTGACATACATTTATAATATTGTTCCTAACATGTCTCCAACACTTGTCAGTCGTCACCCTTTTAGAGAGGAATTATCATATCATGTGAATTAATATGGATTAATTTTTAAATAATAAAATAATAATAATCAGAAGAATAAATTAATATAACAACTTACAATTGACATATTTGGTGGAACTAGAAGGGTTTAATCAAAAAGATTGGGCGGATTTGATTACGGTCCTACCATGTTAAGAGCACATGCATAGCCCGGACATGGCGGTCCATTGTATTCATGTAACGTAATTATCCTAATCTTTGGAGGCATCAATATTTATTTATAAGCAGAAAAGGAAGCACATATATAGATAAAGAAATATTTGTCAAAAAAACGGAAAATGTGATTTACTTGCGGAAACAAAAAGAACAATTTGGGTTGCATTTTCTTAACCCAATTTCAAAACAGAGATGGGATATATATATATATATATATATATAGTGTGTGTGTGTGTGTGTATGTGTATATATAATTCTCTTACCAAATCTTGTGTAATAATTTGTCTCTTCTATGTGAGAATATTGTGGAGGTTGGAGCTGAGGATTTACTTTAACCAATCAAGACTAATAAACAATCACTATGGTCTCTCCTATGATTAAGGCATGATTTGGTTGTTTTAATACTCAGTCAAAAATAATGGCATAATTATTTAGAATATACTCACCGAGTCAATATGAAAAAAATTGTCCATACTTTTCGCTTTGACATACACACACAGGCACACACAGACATATATTTGAATTTTGCTATATGATATAAAAAACCATTTAGAATTTGACGGTTGAATAACTTCGATCGTTTTGATGTGAGTGGAAGTGACGGTTTGAATTGTCCTAGACTTTGTAATGTATAAAGTACATGCATATGTTAGATTAAAATAAAATCTCTTGGCCAACGGGCCAGTGGCCTAACGGTATCAGCCTCTTACTTTCCAAAGGGAGATCCGGGGTTTGAATTTCAAAAGAGACATGTGTGTGAGTATCAACTAAGAAAAAAAATAAAAAATAAAAAATAAATAAAATCTGTTGGCACTTTATTTCAACAATTAGGTTGAAATCAGCACTCATTGAGGCTAACATGTTCCAATGTAATATGAACACAATTTGTGAAAAGTTGACCAGAATGATAGGGAAGAAAGGTTCATGCAAATTGTCACGTGTGTGTGTGTGAGAGAGTTTTAATAGTTTTAACAAGAATTAGCAATTTGAAGAACAAATTAATTGTGTGAGGTTGAAGGTCCAAAGCAATCACTATGGTCCCTAGACAAATTAATGTCGAGATGACATCAGAAAAGGGCATGAATTAGGGTCATTTTATCCACATGGTTGTTAGTTAGGAGGAAATAGGAGTGCCCTTCACAAGGGATTGTCTGTTAGCTAGTTGCAATGGAGAGACCATGACCCTAACCTAATTAACATGGAATGGTCCCTAGGTATGCAAGATTGGTACCGAATGGTTACTGTCTAATGGGTAGTTAATAACATGGTTATACTTATACATAGCAGCCATAGACAGCTCCACATGAGCTTCCAAGGAGGAGCAGCGACTTCTACGTCTTCCATGTGCCATTTCGGTGGTGGTCTGCGGTGGTAGGCCACCCTGCAGGGTCCCTGAAAATGTTGCTTTTTCTTTATGCACAGAGAAAATTTTCATAGTCATATATTTTCTAGGAAAATTACAGGGTTTCAGATTTCTCTAGTGGTCATCGGTTTGATTTTTACCGTTGATCAGCAATACAAAAGGGTAGCCAGAAATTTGAAGGAACACAACCATTGACCAACCAGTAATTTTTACCATGGTAGTAAACTTTTGGTGTTATGCTGTGAAAATCAGGAAACATTCACACACCAAGTATTGGTCTTTTACCCTTTAACCACTCGCTACTTGCATAGAACTAGCATAAAATTGTCACGTCGGGGAAAAAAAAAAAAAAAAAAAAAAAAAAATTCCTCTTAAAATGGATACTTCAATAGACCAGTAAAATTTGATCATTAATATTCCAATTTTAATTCACAACAAGAAGCAAACAACATAAACAAAGGAGGTAGTAGGTAAAGCTGTGTGCGTGTGTAAGAGAGAGAGAGAGAGAGAGAGCATTAAACAAATAATGATGAAGAAACAAACTTACCAAGAAATTTTGATGAAGAGAAGAAGCTTTAAGTTCACACATTGAAATAAGTAAGTTAAACAGAACTCATCTCCCAATAAGAGAGAGAGTTTAATTTATAAAAAAATAAATAAAGTATGAAGGAGAAGCGTGGCATGAGAACATACAGTCCCAGTTCAGTGGGAGCAACCTTTCATTCCCATAAATGATCACATCATAAGAAATGATACAGAAAAATAAAATAAAATCAACACAAGGCCTATTGAATCTCCAATCAATAGAATTAAATTTGAACAAATGGTAATTCTGGATGCTAAATTAGGTGTCAGTCTATGAACAATTTTTAACAAATAGGGTGGCGCCAGGGGCTGATCAGCGAAGTTCGAATCAAAATGTACTGCTACTTTCACTGGCAGAAATGGGGGAAGCTTCGGACTTCACAAAGTGAGAGCCTCTGCCGCTGATATCAAGCCCTTGCATACGACCAAGCGGATCCTGCTGCAACATCTCTGCGAGGGACAGTGAGTGGGCTGCTGCAAACATAGGCTGCTGGTGGGTTGACATGTTTGACTGGAACTGATGAAACTCTGGCATTTGCATGTTCTGGAAGTCACTGATCCCTGGTTGTGCCTGACGTGCGAAAAAGGAAGACTGGATATATGGAACATTATGCATTCCAAAATTGTATATATCTGATGCAGATGCTAATTCTCCAGTGGCAAATTTGAGCCTTTCTACTTCATGCTTCAGTGCTTCATTCAGAGCTGTGTTCCCGAAACAAAAATCATATAGAAAATTACCTAGTTAATAATTCTACTTGGTGGAAGATAAAATATTTTTTGATATTCAGAGCTAAAAATTTGTATAAGTTGTTATTGATGCAACCATAAATTTGTCATTCTCCATCCATCCTAACTTTCTAGTAGTGGCATGAGTGAGCTAAATTGATGCGTGGATACAAAAACAACAATATAAGACCATATCTGAATGATCCAAAATGAGTATCAAATTTCACATCATTATCAAAAAGGTTTTTGTGTATCTTAGACAAAGAATAAATGGAGGGTGAGAGAGAGACGGGAGAGATGTAATATTTTGATAATATCCATGTTGCCAAATAGAGCAGATATTGCACTGTTTCCATGGAAGAAGAGAATACCTGATATGCCTACTAAACATGTTCAGGAAAGATACATGACACATAGAGGATACTAAACATAGTATGAAAATAGTTCTTCAAACCAGGTTTGCTGGATACATACCATCACGTAACTGAGCTTGTTGTTCCATAGCTTGTAACCGAAGCTTAAGCTCAGCATTTTCTGTATTAAGACCTGTTGTATCCCTCTGTGAAATAATAGAATAATGTCATTAGCTTTTAGGAAAAAAATTAATAAATAAAATAATAAATGATAGAGGAAAGAAAAAAGAAATTTAAAAAGAATGGAAATTCTATAACATGAGAAGCTCCTAAAGCCAAACTTATAAAAAAACGTGAAGAGACGTAGAGGTGACGCCATAAGTGAAATAAAGGTAGGCAATCAAGGCCTGCTTTACAGGAATAACAAAAAGTGGGAAAAAGATTTGATTGAAGGTATGAATACTAAATTGAAGGAAAAGGAGAAAAACGAGGGGGTCAGGGTGAGAGGAGGCACCAAAGAGGAGTGCAATGCATGGATGCATTACGTGTAGAATGGAAAAGGAAATGAATTACACATCAACATAATATTCATCTCCCAAAAATTCTACAAAAGAATATTAAGAGAAAACATCCTTCCCTAAAAGCCACAAAAAGTGGGATGGGGGTGGGGGTGCGCGGAAGCACAAATTTAAATCACTTGAATGGCCCCATATTGCACTTTCAAATTAGGCACCATTAAGGAAACAACAGCACTTACCTCCCACTATCCCTCACAAGCCACTCTCAAAAAAAACTCTACCACTGCTCCGAGCCAATGTTACGTGAAACATCTGTATTCGGGAAGGGAACAGAAATCTGGTAGACCACGTACCATAAATGCAGTACAACTGGGGTATATATGATATAATTGAAATAATCTAGATGCAAAAATGGTTTTCTTTCATATGTGAAAAATGGGAACTAGTATTACCCATGCCATTGTGGAAATTTATTACATTTGATAGTTACATGTAAATGCACTAATGTTATGTGTGGGAGCACCGAATCGTGTCTTGGATTTATGTTTATTCAAAATTTGAACTGAATTTCCTCCAATTCCGATTCCAAGACGCCGATTCGGTTTTCCTAAACGCAACATAAGTACATCCTATTTATGCTGAATCCTGAATTTCCTATGGTTATGTATTTCTTTTCGAAAATTTAAAAGAAAAAATGCAAAGAAATATTTTAGATTATGAAATTTAGTGTTATGTGGAACAAAAAGTGTTCCATGCTGTGGAATGTGCACTCCAAAACAGGGATTAGAGAATTCTGTTTGCTATGATTTGAGCATAACCCAATGAACTCCAGGTAACTAGAAAAGAAGGGACTCTTATTTCCAAACTTCCTGACAATAAATCAGTAGATGATTCACTGTCCAACACTCCCTTACACATGCAAGACCAACTAGGGAGGACTTAACTTTAAACACCAAGTTATCAAATGGCTAAGATCTTCTTTAAGGTTGAGAAGGAAAAAGTTACAAAGAGATTAAATTACGGTAACAAAAGAAGGAACCGTTGTGAACCATTTTTTATTTGCTTAACAGCAAATAGAAACAGGGTAAGGTTCAAGAGTGGGCACAAGCAGAAAAATTAACCTTTCTCCGTAACCAAGGTGATTGCCTCATGAAATAGCTTGCCAAGTGATTAAAACAAAATATTTTTGTTTCAGTGAGGATTTGAAAAATCAACCAGCATGATAAAGGAATTAAAGAGATGGAATTATGACAACCCAGATTCATATGTATTTATGCAAATGAATCCAAATGCATTTCTATGAAAAACTTAAACATATAACTAAAATCATAAAGCAACCCAAATTTGTACCCCAAGAATCACCTGGAACAGTGTAAGTTGCGCAGAAAGAGTGGTTGCTTCAGTTTGAAGGGTCTGAACTTTTCTCTCAAGTTCTGATATATAGCGCGCCTTCCTCTCTTTTGAACGAGCTGCAGACTGTCGATTGGCCAGAATCCTGTATATTAAATTTAAAATGTCAGATAATATGGAAAGTACAAAACTCCAAACACTTATTATGGGTCACAAGGGTTTAAGTTACTTGCATTAAATGAGGAAACTTCCAACTACAACAAAGAAGTGGGCATGAGAATTTTCTCATCCAGATACTAGCATGCTTAAAAAACAAAATTAATAACAATCCAAGAGTAGATAATGTTGTACACCTAAAGGATTTATTTATTTTTATTTTTCTAAAAACACATTTTAGTGAAAAGAATTAGGCCAGACAAAATAGAGTTTGATAATCAATGTATGATTGTATAATGGGACATCGACCTTAGAAAATTAGATTTCACATGATCATCAGTCAAAACTCAAAAGCATGCTCATCTCACAAATGAGACCATGTGATAGGCATAACATATACTGCCTGCACAGCTGAATAGTCACACAAGTTCAATTTTCCAATTTAACAAAATATAAAAGATAAAAGAGAATTAAAAACAACGGGGTATGGTTGTAAACAGTTCAATACCAACCCAAAAAGGTCATCTAATTCAAGGGCAGAGCCTGTTATAAATTCATTATGCTTAGATGAACAATCTGCTTGCACAAAAGCACAAGTCTTACTGCACGGAAGCTGGTGATGCATTTGCCAAATCTTATTTCACAAAAGCTGAATCTACCAAGATCCCTGATTTAACTGATCTGACGCTGGTCATTCAATATTTTGTAGCAAACAACCTAGATTGAAGGGAACAATCACTTGGTGTATCTTTAGAACATTTTCTACTCATTGCACAAGTAGTTTAGATTCACTTATGACATAACTGAACCTCTTGACCAAGTTTAAGGAGATTATTGATGCAATAGAGAAGTGACAGTCTTGAAGCTTAGCCCCGAAGTCCTATAGGATCGAGATGGCGCAAATGATCCCAAACCCTACTAACTTCATTGTGGTTAATAAACCTAGATGCTGATGAAAGTAACACAAAACTCAGTTCATACACCACCTAAACTATTAGTACAGAACTCACACAATGGAACAGCAATTAAGTTGACCATAAAGCATCAAAATACAAAGAGTTACTTGCAAATCAAATGAGACTCTTTCACCCAGATTCCTGAATGTGGGCTATGGTAAAATGAAGTAGAAAAGTTTTTTAGAGCTTCTCTGCAACTACAAATTTCCCTTTCTAATATTCTTTGTTTCTAAATAATAATTGAACCAGACATGTCTAATCCACTCACACTATGAACATGAAAAATCAGTCAACGAACAACATTGACTGCCATGAACTTATTAAGCTCATCATCATCAATTACTTCAAATAAACAATAGGAATACATATAGTACCATATGTATGTTAAAAGTAAGTATAGTAGAAATTAGAAGTAGTACCTCTTAGCTCGCTTGGGATCATTTGTCCACAACTCAGCAAGCTTATCAGGAGCCATTGCTTTCTTGGCTTCTATACTCTCACTAAAAAAAGTAGATCCATCAACAGAATTGCTGTGTCGATGCCTAGGCCTCGCAACATTTTCACCTTCAACGGCCTCAGCCTCCGCTCCTCCACCTCCGCCTCCGCCACCGCCCGCATTGTCGATCCGGCCGTCTAATATGCTGGATCCAAGCTTCTCAATGTCCATGTAAGTGCAGAAGAGATCGTCCTCCGATCCGATCTCATCGAAACTCCCAGACGGCGCATCGAAGGGGTCGGAGACGAGATCTAGGTCGTTCGGCAGCCGGAAGTTCACCTCCGAGTGGGCTCGCCGGTGGTGAGCCGGCCTGAATGAGCCGGAACGGTCTGCGAACGACGTCGTTGTCTCTGCTGATGGCTTCTGGTGAGCATTCTGGGAGCTAGGGTTAGGGTTTGAATTTGATGGATCTTGCATTTCGATGGTCACTATAACTATATATGTCTGTCTTAGGTGTGTTCTTCGTTATCTCTGTTCTCTTTCATCAGCATGTTGAGAGAGAGAGAAAGAGATGTTCAGTTTCGGACAGTGATGATAGAATCGAGAAGACTAGTCTTAAAAGGGTGTTTATGTAATTCACTCCGAGTTTTCATGTCCCTGTTGAAACTTGATTCAGAAAATTAAGGAAATACCAAATTTAAGATCGTAATCAAATCAAATTAGTTTTAATTATACACTTAAATTATTGCATTTTAAGTATGAAAAATCATGAATAGATCGCATCATCTTGCTCGTATTAAAATGATTAATGATCAAATCATAAAAAATACTGTAAATAATAATTAAAGTAATTTGGAATAAACTCATACTAACTAGTCAAATATGAAGATCAAATTTGATCAAATTTGGATCAAAAGGAGTAGAATGTAATTTTCTTTTCTTTTTTTGAAAGGTAGGAGATCGTACCCATGTGTTATGCTCTCATGAATCTTAATATATAATTTTGATATATAATCTCTATGGTTATTCATCAATATATCAAAATTTGGCAAAATCATAAAATAAAAAGTAACAAAAGAATGTTGTAATGAGGTGCACCTCATTCTAGCTTTTCTCTATTTTAAATTTAGATATAATCTTTAAAATATCATTTTAATTTTTTAATAACTCACTAATTTATAAATATATATATATATAGGGTTGCATTGACATCCTATGAGGTTTCGGTTAATGTCACTAAGATACGGGTCAATGACTTTTTTTAACAAAGACATCCCTTATAGTTTCAAATATCATATGCTTTCCTCATTATTTAATTCAATTAATTTACAAAATATCAATCATATTAATTGACAAAACTACCCTTATCATTAAGCTTATTTCACTACCCGAATCTGTAACTCACTTTTTTCTTCTTCTTTTTTGGGACATGGCTGATTTTTTTTTTTTTTTTCTTGTTGTTGTGGGTCCGGGCTAGCTATGGCTGTTTTTTTTTGTTTTTTTTTCTACTCTGATGTTGGTTGTTGTGGTATGGTTTGAGAGTGGTTGTGGTAGTGTCTAGGTTATCATGGTATTTCAATATCTTTATTATTATTATTTTTTTCTATTGTGGTGGTGGTAGTAGTGGTTGTGGTAGCATCTAGGTGTGTTATGTGTTGTCTTGATGTGATGGTGGTTCTGGTGGCGTTTAGGAGATATAAGTGTGGGTTGGTCATAACTGTTTTCTGTAAATTTTTTTTTTTTTTTTTTTTTTTTTTTTTTTTTTTTTGGTGATTATGGTAGTGTACATCAAAAATAATTTATTTTTTATTTTTTATATTTTTATGTTTATGTTGTGGTGGTGATTATGGTGGTATAAATATTATATATATCTAGACAGTAGTGTTCAATTGTTCCTCGGTGAGCAGGGAGCAATATACTCACTTTTATTCATAACCTTATGATCTAATCCAACGGCTAATAGGGAGAATAATTATTTTAGGAAATTAATATTATTTTAATTAGCCATTAATTATGAAATGACTATATTGGATACATTGTTAAAAAAAATAAAATAAAATAAAAACCATGAACTGTCATTATCCCACCGCCACTGTCACCTCTACCCCACCACCACCTCCCCCACCACACCGTCACCACCTATATCACACCACCTCCACCCAGACAGATTTAATAGCTACTTTTGACTAAGAATCACCAAATTTACAAATTAATTAGCGTCCTTATAATTATTGGTGTATGTGGTAGGGCTGCAAGTTGGGTTGGCCCAACCTAACCTCAACCCGATTTGGGTTGGGCCAGCCCAAATTATACTGAATATAGGTTATGGTCATAACCCGGACCGGATATTTTTAGGCGAGTTAGGTCGGGGTTGAGTTTTTTATTTTTTATTTTTTTTTATTATATATAATTTTTTATTTTTGGAAATTTATATATATATATATATATATATGTATACTATATATATTTGATTATATTATTATTAAAAAACAAAATATTTTTAGGGCAAATCATTTTAGCCTCCCCAATCGCCTCCATCTTTGGTCTCATTCTCAATTCTCTCTGCAACTGCAAACTACAAAATCTACAAGAATCAGAAGTTCAAAACCCATATATTTCAGTTTATTTATCTGTCTGCATGAATCAAAAGTTCAAAACCTATTACCTATATCAAAACCCATATCGGCATATCATTTCAGATTGTTTAAAAAATCAAAACCCACATCGGCATATCATTTCAGATTGTTTAAAAAATCAAAACCCATATCATTCAGTTTCCATCGCCTGCTGTTCCAGTTCAGGTTCGCTGTTTGCAAGCTTCAACCGCTGTCTCTCAACTCTCAAGCTTGCCTTCCTCTCTTTATGCAGCTGCTAACTTGTATGTATGGGTTTTGTTTTAATTTTTGAAAGTGACGGCGGCAGCGACGGTGGCAGAGGCAAAGGGATGGCGGCAATAGAGGGACGGCGGCGGCGGCGGTGGTAGAGGAGACGGCGGCAGAGAGAGAAAGGAGAAAAAAAAAAAAAAAAATTATTTTTTTTATTTTGGGTTTTGGGTTGGGTTCGGGTTGAGCCCGAGCCCAACCCAAACATGAACCCAATTTGTGAATTTTAAGCCCCAATTTCATAATTTTTGGGTTGGGATTGGGTTGGGTTAGCCTGCCTAAGTTGCAGCCCTAATATGTGGTGGTGGGGGGTGGCAGTATGGTGGTGATGGAGGTGGCAGTGTTGTGGTGTGGTTGGGGGAGGAGGTCGTGGCAGTGTTGGGGGGCGGAGGTGGGTGGTGGTAAGGGACAGATAGTTTAATCAGATTAAAAATTTTATTATTATTATTATTTAAAAAAAGTATCTAATATAGTCATTTCATAATTAATGGCTAATTAAAAGAAAGACAATTATTTAAAATAACTATTGTTTCAATTAGCCGTACGATTAGATCTTAAGATCATGAGTAAAAGTGAGTATATTGCTACCTGCTCACCAGGAAGGTGAGTATGGAGTAATTGAACACTATTGTGTGTGTATATATATATAAGAGAAAAAGAGGTTAGTTTGGTCAATTAAATTTAGTTAGGAGGTTAAATTAATAATTTCATAATTTAAATAGAGTTGTTGACAAGTCAAAGGGTTAAAAAATAATTTCTTATGATTTCAGAAGTCTTAAAGGGGTATCAATGCACATTTTTTAAACATTAGGAGGTGTCAATGTAAAACAAGTAATTAACTGCTGAGTGACGTTGACAAAAACCTCTAAAGTGTCAATGTAATTTATTCATTTTTTATTGGGAAATGATTATTGTACTAAATAGTTGTAATAAATTACTGAACCTACTCTGGCCAATCATGCAACAAATAAGAAAATAAAGTTCTTTATATTTATTTGTATTTAGTATAAATAATACAAATATTTGGTGTAAGTATCACTACTCTATTTTTTATTTTATCATACTAAGCTCTTCTCGATTTAATGGTCAAAGAAAATACTAACAGAATTCACTGTTGACATGAGAGAGGGTTCTCCATAACTTTTCTTTTGCCGATATGGAGTGCGGGTAGGATATGATCATCCTATGTATTGAAAGGAAGGAGCACAATACGAATTGCTAGAAACACTGTTTCATTGCATCACCAGTCGAGATCCTGATTTATTATATTATATAGTATATATTTTATTAATTACTTGTGATCATATCACTTATAGTAATTAATTGTAGCCAAAACCTGATAAATTACATTGGATTTAAAAGTTAGTCCGACTCAGACATATGTTTAGATTATATGATGTGTCTTATTCTTATTGGAGGGAGTTTGACTAGACTCAATTGTGAAAATTTAGCCAATTGAATGGATATTGTGTGAAGTAGGGTAGCAAATCCACCAAGACCCTATGATTTTATTAATTTTTTTTTAAAAATAAAAAATAAAATACAGTTAGAGTTAGAAAATATAAATAACAAAGTGATCTAATTTAAAAGTTCATTTTTTACTTTGGTTGAATTAAGCAAAAAAAAATTATATATGCATTGAGAATTATTATTGAGTTATAAAACACCATCCAAATTCTTATTCCAAAATATGCTTCTTAAATAAAATAATTCATTTACTTATATTTTGAAAAACATAAGTCATAATAGTGATCTTCAAAACGTCCAAGGATTTGAGATTCGGATTTAGAATCTCCAAATTTTGAAACAAAGATTCTACGATGATAAAACACAATATGATTGCTTTCTTGAGAGATTTGGATTTAGAATCTCCAAATTTCTAAACAAAGATTCTAAGATGATAAAACACAACATGATTGCTTTCTGAATTCGTAAAAATCTGTAACTCAAACACATAATTAAATCAATATAATAATTCTTGGGAGAGGGAAATCTTGCGGTGGAATTGTATTGAGGGAGATCTTTTTTTGCGAGGTTATGTGAGGGTCCTGAGCCAGATGTGAATTGGTGATATGTATTAGATTACCAGAAAAAGCTCTAGTAAACAAATTCTACATTGTCTATATTAAACAAATGCGGGCGATGACAAGAGAAATTCACTATGATTGTAACTTTCTATCTGTTGAATGCAGCTAAGAAGAATTTGTTTTCTGTGCTTGTTAGTTTAATTCACTATTTTTCAAAAAAGATAAAATAAAAATAAAATTGTTTATATACATATTGTATAAATTTATGATCCTTTGATTGATGGTGCGCAAGAGCTTCACAGATATTGAATCTTAAGAAACAGTTAATTGAATATTCATTAGCTTAGAGGAATGTTTGAAGGAATAAAAAATTAATGTTTGAAGGAATAAAAAATCAGTCATATTTGAGTGATTTTTCTTCTCCTTCTTCTTTTAAAATTTTTCAAGTGGTGAAATTATTTGATTTAAGAAAGTTAATTCAGGTAGTTTGGAATAAAAGTTTGGAGGAATAGAATAATACATTATTTATGTTTTTTACATAACCTACCTTTGATAAGTTCGCTTATTAATTTAAGGATACTCTGTATCTGTGTCTAAGAATAGAGGAGTTCATCCAAATGATGGCGACTTCAAGCAACAGGTCAAGAACTCCAGTCTACATCTAAAAAGTAAATTCTGAGATTTTACTATCTCA